CTGCTCGTCCTGCTGGTCCACGCGCGCGCCGCCCAGCATGGCAAAGCTGCGCAAGGTAAGGGAGGCGCGGCGCGGGGCTGCGGGGCTGCGGGACGGCGGGGCCCCAACCAGGGCAGGTGCCTGGAAGTGCGTGGCTGTCAGGACCCGGCCCTGTGTGTCCCGGACTCTCCGACCAGGGTCAGACCTCTGGGCGCTGCGCGCCTGGAGAAGCTCTTGGAGGAGCCTGGGGGCGGCCGGCAGCAGGGAGCATGCACTTCTGCCGGCTTCTCTGCCACCTCTAGCATCTTCCGCCGAGGTTAGAGAATCTTCTCTCAAACACTGCCAGGGACTTCACTCGGGGGCTTGAGACCGAGAGAAGTTTTCAGCCATGCCGCACACTTCGTACCCTCACCCCCTCCCCGCACGCAGACAGGCCGAAATTTCAAAGTTGCTGTCTTATCAAGTCTAAAGATGTTAAAGAAAAACAGGCTCTTTCGCGGTGAAACCGACTGCCTGTCACGGGATGGTAGGGGGCAGAAGGAGAAAATGTCTGTGACTGGCTTCTGGCACGCACGTTGCGTTTCTGCCTTTTTTGGGGGGGGAAATCTCTTTCGTCTCGCATGGCTTTCATTTCTTATCATAATATTTATTTATTAAGGCCTGGGGTTTCCAATTCCATTTAAATCCAGGTCAGAATTGCATTAAAATAACAAAGTAAAATTCCAGGCTGGGAGCTCTGACAGATTCCCTCTAGGAATTAGAGAGAGACTGGGAGGCCCTCCTGCCCCGGTCCCTGACCCCGAGCTCACTGCCCAGCCAGTCCCAAGGCTGCGCTGGCAGAAACCAGGCTGGTGTCCCACAGTTCTCTGGGGACAGCCTCCCCTCCCCCATTGACCTGCTACACCCCTCCCCCCACGTTGTCCTCACCCAAAAGAGATTTATATGGACAAAAAGAAAATTCCTCTTAGCAAGATTTTGCCCGGGAGGTAGATTCTGCCTATTGTCCCAGGGGCTCCTGAAGCCAGCCAGGGATGAGGAGGTGTCTGAGCCAGCAGGAAAGTTGAACTTGGGAGTTGGGGAAGTCTGAGTGTCTGGCAGTCAGGTCGCTGTGTGGAGGGGCATGAGCCCTGGAGTCCTAAGCTGTTGTATGCCACCCGCTTTCACTGTGTTCCTAGAAGGTGCTAAGTCAACACCATCCGCTTCCCCCCAAAACACGGTCTCTACCCTTGCCCCCTCCAACCTGTCCATTAACATAACTAAACACTGGAGACCCCCCGCCGTCAAGTACCGGACCCCACCCCAAGCTCCTTCCAGCCCCAAACGGCTTCTTCTGCAGCCTCGGTTCCAGACAGCCCGCTGCCTGGAACAGCCCCTCTCCCCACTCTGGATTTGCTTGTGTGTTTTCGTAAACAAAGCTGGCTTTTGTAGTGCACGCTGACTTACTCATAACATGGAATTAGCTAGGGAGTTTAGTCTGAGGAAGGAACAGATTTCGTGCAGTAATCTAGAGACAAGATAAGGGCCTCTTTCAAGTTGGAGCCAGAGTCTGCAGAGGTGGTGGGGACAAGAGGAGAAGCAGCCTATTAAAGGGGCTCCAGGTGCAGCTGGAGACCCCCTAAATGGGACAGGTGTGCAGGGAAACCAAGGCTCTCAAGGGATAGAAGGAGTCAGGATACCGCCAGGGTACCTCAGGTACCTTCTTTTATTGGACACCCCACTGGGTGCTGGGGGACACTCAGCAGGAGGCGGTACCCTCAAGGTCCCTGCTTATCCCAGTCCTGAGCGCCACCTGCCCTGGTGAGGCTGCAGTAACTTGGCATCTGCCCCCTCCCCCGTAGGATTTCTGAGTCTGGTTGGGGCTAGACTGGAACCTCTCATTAACCCTACCATCCAGGAAATCTGTGAAGCCCTGTCCATCAAAGGTTGCCTAACAACAGGTTTGCTGGAAAACAGAGCTGTGCTTGGACTCAGATTTGTAGGTAGATGCTGCAGGCAGGGTGAGAACTGTTTGGTCTGAGCCTTACAGGCTTACCCATGGTGCTGTGAGCTCCAGGAGGCCTCCCTTGCCCCCTCGGCATATCTCCCATCTATCATCAGGGCTGGGAAGTCCGCCTTTGATGCCACGTGCTTCTCAGTGGAACCCTAGAGGGTCTGTAAATCGGAAACACCCTCAGCAAGCATCTTGAAAAGAACACTGCTGCCCTTCTGGGGACATCTGTGTCCCTGGGAGCGTCAAAGCCATGTGATGGGATGGAGGATGGAACAGGGGCAGGAGCTTAAGAATAAAGGAGGGAGGAAGGAAGAGAGAGGGAACACCAACTCCCGCACCTTGGTCCACCCTGGCCCGCTGTGTCCTCTGGGACCTAGTTCTTGAGTCAGGGATTGCTGAACGTTTTGTCCCTGTGGATGAGTGGGCGGGTCAGCTAGTGGGACTGGGAATGAGTGAGCTTGCTGGGTACACGGTTTTGAGTGGTTCTCAAGTGCCTGTCTGTGTGTCTTAAAGTAGACAGACTGGATAACCAAGATAATTGTAAACTTAAAAGCATTAATTTGCTTTGCTTTTTTTTTTTTTTTGAGGGGTGGGGGTGGGGTAGAGGTGGAAGGACAGCCATGCTTAAAAAGACCTAATCCTCACTTAGGGCTCACGTTGCAGCTGAATGAAAAGGTCTCAGGGCCTCCAGGGGGACTGGTCCGGCCCCCAGGCCGGCTCCAGCTCCAGGACAGCCAGGTTGGCCATTTAGTTTACCTGGTAGTTTTGAGAAAGTCATCCATTTAGAGGCCACGACATCCCTGAGACTGAGCGCGTTCATCTGGCGGGGAACAGTGTCTCTCTGTCTCTGCGTCTCTGTCTGGGTGTATGTGTCTCTCTCCTTTCCCCCACCCCTCTCTTCCTCTTTAATGTGGCTGTTTCCTCTCCTCCCGGCTTCCCTCGGCTCCTGTGGCCAGCTCCTACAGTGAGGGGACTGTTCCTCCTAGCCCCTCCCTCCAAAATATGAAATGAAAACCATAACCGTGTCAGCGGGTGAGGGTGGCTCCTCAGGCAGCCGCCGTCGCTTGTGCCCCATCGAGGCCCTACTGGAGAGAGCAGACAGACAGACAGACAGACCCCACTCTTAGATCCTGTTGTTTTATCAGTTTCCCTAAGCTCATCCCCACTTTTAGGAAGTCCTCAGAAATCCCTTTGACCTCTTTCTGTGGCTTTCTGGTGGCATGTCATAGGTGTGGGGAGAGCCTGGGGCTAGGAGGATATAAATTTTGTTCTCCACCCCGCCACACACACACTCGAGTCTCTGTAGAGTGGAATGGGAGAGACTGGACTACAAAGACCTAGGAGTCACAACCATTACAGGAAGAGAGCCCTCAGATGAAACCGCTTTCTGGAACCTTCTGGAATCTGAGAGCGAGAACCGGTTTGAGATGAGAGCAGCTAGAACCTGCTGTGAATAGAGACAGGCTTGGTGTGAGGTTGGGAATGCGAGGTGTGCATTCACTGGAGTGTGTGAACATGCATGTGCATGACTCCGTGTGTGTGTGTGTGTGTGTGTGTGTGGCACACTGGTGAGGGGTAGGAGGTGGGCGATGTGCGTTTTGTGTTAGTTGGAGAAGGAAAGTAGAGTGGTCCAGTGCCTTGAACCGAGGGTGGGGGAGGGGAACGCGTGGCTTCAGATCCTCTGGAGAAGATGGTGGAGGTGGAGGAACTTGCAGCCAGATCCCACCCTGGTCTCTGCTGCCTGCTTCGGTGTGCGGGTGTGGGCCTCTGTACCCCTAGCACATGACCGCTCAATAAGAAAGAGTTCCTGTCAGGGCTGGAAACTGCGGAGCCGCTCTGAGGCTGGCAGTGCTTACGGGAGGCCCAGACCTGGGGAGACAGGAGTCTGGGAAGCACTGGACTGCTGGAGCTCAGGGGAGAGGTGAAAACAGCCAGCGCAGGGCCGTGTGGAGGGGATGAATGGGCTACTCACCTGGGCAGAGGAGGGACACTGACTCTCTGTCCGCAGACTAGCCACGCTCTTCCCTGCCAGCCTGCCTTCTGCCTGACTCAGGTGGCACTAGGTGGGTGGAAGAGGAGGTGTGAGCTCTCACAAACTCAGAGCCTGCTGGCTGAGAACTCGGGTTCTGCCCATTTTGTTGAACCCATTCATATAGGTAAGCTTCAGTAGTGCGGCCTCACCTACCCAAGGGCCAGGCCCTCTCCATCTGGACCATGTTCCGTTCTGCCTGTTGGAAGTGGGGTCACGTGGTACTTTTCCTTTTTTCCCCCACCTCAGTTTCCCAAGGATGATAGTCCTGTGTCAGGCGAGCAGCTAGCCTAGAAACCAGCCCCAGAAGCCCACGGACATGCTTCTGTATGTGTGCACATCGTGGTGCCCAAGACTGACCCCTGCCAATCCCCGAGCCCTGCCCTCTTCAGACCAAGGGCTTGCTCTGGAATTGGAGCCGGATGTTACAGTTGCGTTTCAGAAGTGGGATTACCCCCCCCCATCCTGAACAGGCCGCTGGGGACCTTGGTTTGCCAATGGTTTTCTCCTGTGACAAACCATAACCCTAGAGAGCTATGGGCTTTGAATTTCAGAGCTTTGTGCCCAGGACTGTCTGGTTGTGGTTACGGACAGTGGCAAACTGAGGACATGGTTGCTGACCCGTAGAAGATGCAGGATAAAGAAACAGGCCTAAGGAATCCCTGGGTGAGGTCCATCATCAGGCTATGTGGGCGTCAGTGGAGGGGGGTCGTGGGAGGATGGGATGTTAAAGGGTAGACCCTGGGGGGCAGGTTTAGAGAGAGGACGCTTTTTACAAGTTTCTAATTATATTTATTTGGAGTTTTCCTCTGGCGGTTTGAAGCTGTTAACAGCAGGAACCTGTATCCCTGGTGTTTGTTTTTGTTTCTAACCAGCTGCTTGGCCCCAGAGAAGTGAATCCCAAGGCTGGCGACACCTGCCCACCACTGCGCCCGCCCACCCGCCCACCCTCTCCTTGCCTGTGTGTCTGCCTGCTCCCTGTCTATCCTGGTCTCCTCTGCTGCCATGGAGCATCCAGATGCTGGCTTTTGACCATCAGCCAGTTCAGTTCCAATCC